CTGTGTCGTAGCGCTATTGGTACCCTTTGGTTTCTCGAGGAGGTGGGAGACTTGAGGGTGGGGGGGGGCTTGAGGGAGGAGTGGGGGAGGCTTGAGGGGAGAGGGGGGAGGCTTGAGGGGGGGGGCCGGGGGGGGAGGCTTGATGGGGAGGCAGGGGACGCTTGTGGGGGGGAGGGGGGAGGAGGGAGGCTTGAGGGGGGGACGGAGGAGGCTGAGGGGGGGGGGCTGAGGGGGTCGCTGAGGGGTCTTGCGACGGCTATCGGACCCTACCCCTGCGGGTCAAATCGGCGCTAGGGTATCGGACACCCCCGCTGGCTCACTTGGGCACAGGCGTCCTTCAAATTCTGCCCCCTACTTAGCTGGTTGTTTAAACATCCGACCTGCACGGGTAGGGTTCCCATGTGTCTGCCAAGGGCGGGGAGAGAGAGGAGAGGGGGGGCAGGAGGAGGAGGAGGAGGAGGAGGAGGTCGAAGGAATCACAATCTGCAGGACCAAGCACTCTCGCAGATCCGCGCGGACGTCGTGGATCGGCGGGACCCCCTTGGCGGCGCCTCCGGCGCCGCCGCCCCTGGCCCGCTCCGCGTGCCGGGGAGAGGGGAGGAGGCCAGCGCCGATCTCGGGAATCCGCACAGACCTCTAATTGTGGACGCCGATGCTGTTTCTTTCAACGCCTCCTCCTCCTCCTCCGCCTCCTCCTCCGCCTCCTCCTCCGCCTCCTCCGTAGCCATTTTGGTTCAAGGCTCATGCTTTTGCGGGCTGAGCCCGTATTGGCATTCTCGGATACCGCTAGTCCGCGGCAGTGCCAGAGCGCTTGCGCTCGACAACTTTTCGCCTTCACCGAGGGGTTGGGCTCCCTCATCAGTTTTGTCGCCACGGCCAGGCAGCCCTCAAGGCCGTGGCTCTCGCCGCTTGTCCCTGCGGCGTCGACGCCGCCATGGCCCCGACGCGCAAGGAGAATGCTTCGCCATGGTATTGCAAGTGGTGCAGGCATGACGTCACGAATCAGCCGTGGTTCAACGCCTCCACCCTTGTGTACTGCAAGAAGTGCGGCCTGCACAAGAGCAACTGTTTCAAGGAGAACAAAACAGCGTCGCAGCCCAGCGTCTCGGCCAAGCAGCAGTCGCTCGCGGCCAAGGTCAAGGAGCTCGAGGCGCAGCTCGCCAAGCTCCGCGAGCATCCCCCTGGGCAAGGGCCAGCGGCTACGGGCACTGGCGCGAGCCCACCTTGGGCTGCCGCGCCTGGGGATGCCGACACCGTCAAGAGGAGCCGAATCAAGATGCTGGATCAGTTGCTTCGGGTCACTACTGACCCTGCTGATGCTGGTATTGTGGCCAAATGGCGTGAGGAGCGTGCTAGGTTGGATGCTGAGCTCTTTCAAGACAGGCCCATTGAGCATCAGGCCAGGTCATTGGCGTCAAGACTGTCCTCCGCCCGTGCGCGACAGGCTACCATCCAGGCCACTCGCGACGAGCAGCAGAGGAAGATCGACGAACTCACCCGCGGCCTGGCCGACACTGACTCCAAGTTGCAGGAGGCGGCTGCGGAGGTCCTCCGCCTGGAGCAGCAGACTCGCGCCGCCATGTCGCGAGTTCAGCCGCCAGAGGGCACCCAGCCACCAACGTTGGCGGACTTGCTGCCCACCTTCGCGGTCAGCGTGGAGCAGCTGGGCAAGGTTGCATCGGGCCTTGGTCTCGGCGCCGACATGGTCAAGGAGCTGCAAGCTATGGCCAACACGGTCAGCAAGCTGCAGAATATGCCGCAGGCCAAGCCGCCCGAACCTGCACCTGCCCATGATGATGAAGATGGTGATGAGTTTTGCGCTGAGCCACCTGACATCGAGATGTCCGAGCAGGAGTACCGTGAGACGCTGGGCGCAGCAGGGGTCCAAGTTGAGGAGAGCGACACCCCTGACATCGTGCGTGAGAAGTTCAAGCGCCTTCAGCAGAGCTACTTGGACACTGTGGCCAAGAAGGCCAAGACGTCGGCGTGAATGTGCTCGGCTTGATATGCTGTTGCTTTGGATCTTCGTCACCATGGTCAGCTCTACATCAGCACAACATGTCGAGAGTCCGCCTCAGTCTTCTTCGACGGCGGCTCGCATTCTGGGCAGGGGGGGGAGGGATTCAGCCCCTCGTAGTCACACCCCCCTGCCCACATCGGCGTCTAGTTCCATGACCTCGGCTGGCACTACGGCGCCTACATTATTTCCCCCACTGGCCCGCTCCTCGGGGTGGGGGACAGCTCCGACCCTGACGGCTGCCTCGCCTACTTCGGTTGAGCCTGCAGCTCCGTCTGGGGCGACCACGGCATCACAGAGGGCTACTCCGTCTACGCCTACGCGGTTGGCCCCTGGCAGCACGCACTGCTCACCGACCTCACCTTCGGGGATTGGCGGCAGAGGGTGCCGACCGTCTTCGGACGGCACGCACCGCTCACCGCCCTTGCCCTCGGAGAATCCAGGCGGCAGAGAGTACCGACTGCCAGGGGCCCCACCGGGCCAGAGCGGCCCAGTGTGCACTACTTTGGATGACGATCATGACTTCTTTGAGGACGTTGAGCCTGACATGGAAGCAGATCTGTGTGAAGGCGCACCTCATGAAGCGCCATCTTCGTCCCCACCTTCTTCCCGATTACGCTTCGAGAAATCAAGTCAAGAACGCGCTGCACCTACCTCGCCTTTGCCGCCAAGGAGCACGGAGGCGAAGGTGCAGCCAATGCATGCAGTATCTCAGCCGCAGCTCAAGGGCCTCATCACAACGGTGAATGCTACGAACTACGGCCCTCTCTTTGACTTTTTGGCTACCTATCGGGGAACTATCTTGCTGGCACAAGAATTGAGGATCACCGACTCCAGGCTTGGCGAGTTTCAGGCCAGGGCCTTGGATGCTGGATGGCACGGGCTATGGGCACCGTCGCCCTCTACGGGCGACTCAGCTACGTCCAACTTCGGAGGGGTCGCCGTACTTGTGCCGACATACATCATGGTTACAGCCCCACCTGATGATGGGCACATTATCTACCCAGGACGAGCAGTCTGTGCACAGATTAACTGGGGAGTGGCAGGCGGCATCATAGTCGCCAGTGTGTATCTTGTCACGTCCATCGGCATATCGGGCGAGAACATTGAGGTGCTGTGGGCCTTGGCGCAGAGAGTTGCAGCATGGAACTCACGGGGCCTCGACTGGATCCTAGGCGGCGACTGGAACTCCGACATCGATGCGCTCAATGTTCGCAACTGGGTCGAGACCATGGCAGCCGTCCACTACGTGCCCGACCAGCACACCTGCATCACCGACGAGGGCAAGAGCACCATAGACTATTTCGTCGTCTGTGCCAATTTAGCGTCTCGCATCAAGGGCAAGCCAGAGGTCCAGTATGACTCCACGGTCGTGCCGCCGCCGCATTTCCCTGTTGAGCTGCAGCTCATGGGCGAGGATCGCCCCACGTGGTGCCGTGTCCCTGCGGAGCCACGCCCCTTTGCGGTGGTGCCGCCAGTTGGCTGTGCTAGATATCCCTACCCGTGGCACAGGCTCCAGACTGAGTTCCAACGGGTCAGCTGTGCCGACGATCTGAGTACGCCCTGGGACTCCGTGTTGCGAGGGGTGGACTACGAGCTGGCAGGGCGCTACGACTGCGTGGGTGCTAAGGCCATGCAGTACATTGGACGCGAGGGGCCGCCGAAGTTCAAGTGGCAGCACTTGTCATGGCAGCCGCCACGCAGGCGTACCTACAAGGAGCCGACCGTGCTGGCCTGGGCCACGGCGAAGCGATGGGCCCAGCACCTTGTGGCCGAGAAGAAGCGGCTGGCGAGGTACATCGAGCGCCTCAAGCTCTGTGCTGCCGTGTGCGACATCACGCCGCTGCAGTACACTAAGGTCGTAGTGGCTTTCAACGAGGTGGCTGCCTTTTATAGACGCGCGGCTCGGTCAGAGCATGTGCTGTGTGTTGTGGACGCTGCCTTCGCAGGCTTCTTTCGGCGAGGGCTGACTGGCCTGGTCGAGTCTGACTTTGAGGACGTAGCCAAGGCAATCATTGCCAGAGCTGATCATCATTTGAGAGCGGCACAAAGAGCGTCAGAGAGGGCCTGGAGGCAGTGGGCCAAAGAAGCCTTCCTGGGAGGAGCATCTCGGGCACATTCGGCCTCCAAAGTTCGGGCTCGACAGGAGGTGCTTGCATACTCCCACGACGCTCAGCCATACCAGATGGCTGACCGCACGCTCGACAAGTGGAAGGACGTTTGGACCTACCACGGTGCATGTTCTCTGTCGCTGCCTGGCGATCACGCTCAGTGGCCTTTGCTTCCGCCTTTGTCTGCATCGCAGGTGCGTGGAGCCATCAGGAGTTTTCCGTTGAAGACGGCCTCGGGCCAGACGAGGATCGCGCCACGCACGCTCGATGTGTTGTCCGACCAGGCCTTGCAGAGCATGGCCGATATGTTCATGATGTTTGAGAGTTGGCTGGCCTGGCCCACGGACAGGCTCTACAGCGAGCTTGTTCGCCTGCCCAAGCCTGACGGGGACACTAGGTTGATCGTCCTCAGCAATACTTTCGTCAGGTTGTGGGGAAAGCTACGTCGGCCGCTTTCGGCGGAGTGGCAAGAGGCGCATAAGTGTGAGCATATGTGGGGGTCAAGGGCTGGGCAGACTTCGACCGATTCAGCCTTCGACCACAACCTGAGCCAGGAGATAGGAGAACTTTTAGGTGAGCACACATGCACCATTCTCTTGGACATGACCAAGTGCTTCGATATGGTCAGTCACAGTGCACTTCTCCGAGAAGCTAGAGAGCTCGGGTATCCGTTGAGGCTCCTGTGGTTGCTCCTGGGCTCCTACCGTCAGCCGAGAAGGATCAAGTGCTTTGGGTCTGTATCTAGGCCCTTGGTGGCCCATCAGGGTATTCTTGCGGGCTGCACGCACGCCACGTACCTTCTATACCTCCTCACGTACCGAGCGGTCCAGCGCACGGCCAGTATTGCACCTTCTATCACGCCACGCACGCTCATGGACGATGTGGGTCTGCAGTACGTGTCGCCTGTATTGAGGGAGGTGTCCAACCTGGCCCGAGCGGCCAAGGCGTTCACGTCGGATGCAGGAGATCTTGGGATGGTCCTGAAGCCGCCGAAGTCTGGATGTATCCCTGGGAACCAAAAGGTTTGGGGACAGCTCAAGAGGCACCTGGGAACCTTGAAGATCCCGTACAGGGCCCACATGAGGAATCTGGGACACGAGCTCACAGGACCTCGAGTTCTTCGGCATATGGAGAAGCGTAGGTTGGTGCAGCTTCGAGAGCGCAAGCATCGTTTTCGCATGTTGAAGTCCGCCGTGGGGCGGAGTGCTACCAGCTTGTGGCGCACGGGCGCCCTTCCATCAGTGGCGCATGGCGGTGCAGTTGCTGGGGTTAGCGACAGCGCTCTTCGTGAGTTGCGACATTGTGTTGCAGTCCTAAATGGTGCTCCAGGTAAGACGATGGTTGGGGTAACAGCGTATCTCATATCTCATCGGGATGAATGTTATGACCCCATATATAACGCCACCACGGACATTGTGCTCAAATACGCCTCCTGGATCTGGGACGGGCGAGTGCAACCTAGCAGACTTCGGGAGGCTTGGGTGCGTCTGGGTGCTAAGTTTGAGAGTTCACCTTCCTGGGCCAAGGCGCGTGGGCCCCTCGGGGCCACCTGGCTTACTTTGAGGCGCATATCCTGGACTATGTCGTCAGAGCACATCCTGGTCGACGATTTGGGAAACAGTTTTGATTTATATCGTATATGTCCAGCAGACCTACGAGTGTTCCTGCATCAAGGCATTCAGCGCTGGCAGCACCATAGGTTGCAGCAGCATTTTTACACCGAGCAGGCGGACGTGTGGCATCGTGCGCTGCGCCACGCGCTCGCCAAGATAAAGTGTCACAGGCGCCTCGGAGCGCTGCAGGCTTTGTGGGCTGACAACCTTCCCATCCCACCGCGTCGGGACATGAAGCACGGGAGGCCCATTAGGCCATGTCAGGCCTGCGGCAAGGCTATCGACTCCTGTTGGGGTCATATCTTTTACGACTGCCCGCCGCTCCTCGAAGGGGACCCCGACCAGGAGTATTAGGAGTTTCCAGAACAGCTTCAGGAGGTTCGTGGCATGCTTCAGGCGTCTGGGCAGATGCTGGGGCGCGCCGACTGGGACCAGAGATACCTGATCTATGGGGTTCCCGAGCCTGTTGCTGTACCGCACTACACCACGGTCTCCAATGATGTTTTTGAATGGGGTGATGTCTCGGGCTCTTGGGGGCCTACGTCATATACCGACGGTTCGGGGTTCTCGGCCAGCATTCCTGAAGTACGTAGGTGTGGGTGGTCGGTCTGCCAGTTGGACCCCGTCACGTGGCTCCCCGCCAGAGCTGTATATGGGCCCTTGCCCTACTATGTGCAGACAGTAGGACGTGCTGAGCGCTATGCCATCAAGATGGGACTTCAGAGGCATCCTGGGCATGAGGTTTTCATTTCTGATCTGAAATCGCTCGTGGAGGAGGGTGCGTCCTGGGACCAGAGGCTCGAGTTTGGCAAAGCGAAGCACGCCCGAGTCTGGAGAGATATTTTTTTCGGCTGCCAGAGCACGCGATCCACGTCTGCCACCAGTGCGGTTGCAGTGGACTCCAGCTCACAGGAAGCTGGAGGACATCATGGGGTCGGCCACGCCAGACGAGCTGGAGGCCTACGTCGGCAATGCCTGGGCCGACTTCTTCGCGAAGTGTGGCAGTGCTGCGCATATGGTGTCAAAGACACTGGCTGACAGTTTGGCAGCTGGGCTGAAGCAGCACAGGCAGGTCCTGCACTATGTGTCGTGGGCGGCCCTCCAGGTTGTGCAGTTTCGGAGGTGGGGAGCCGACCCTGTCGTGGAGCAGGACCCAGAGCTCGCCCAGGTGCCCAAGCGTGTGGTTTTCGAGAGGCCCCAGGACCACGTGTTGCTCTTCTGCCAGAGGACGTCTGAGTATCGGTGTCGACGGTGCAATCGTGTCGCTCGGAGTGCGAGTACCCTCCAGACTCTTCGTTCGGGAGCTGATCGGGTATGTGCTCCCTCGCCTCTCGTCCAGAGCCTTGCCGAGGACTACTTTCTGCGGAGTTCTGAGGCGTGGCTGATTGTGTCGGATTCTAGGGTCACGGCGGCCATCGAGGCGGCCGATAGGATGTTGGGGTCCACGTCTCGGCCTTTGGAGGCCTCCTCGGGGTTCCCCGCGGTCCCTCCCCAGCCGCTGGAGCAGGTGTCTGCTGCCAGCGGCTCGGCTGACGTTCCCCAACCTGTGCTTGCTGAATTCGCTGAATTGGGGCATGACGTTTTCTGTGTTAATTCCGTGTATTGCTGCCGCAAGTGCGGTGGCAATTTCAACGGGTCCGAGTCCTTCAGGTCCGCCCGCAAGCTGCGGGCGCGGTGCCAAGGTTTCTCGGAGAATCCAAAGACTAGGGCGAACCAGCTCACGGCGATCGACCGTATCACCCGTGGCCTGGAGCCCCGCCAGCGTGGGGCAGGAGCGGCGCGTTCTGGCCCGAACCCTGCCCCCTAGAGTTTTCTTTTGGACTTGGGCCTGGGAGGTTTTCTTGGGTGTGGTTTTCCTGAGGCGCCCCACCCTCTCCCAGGCTTCCGCCTTCCGCCACCCCTGTGGCTCTCAGGTCTCACACGCGGTTGGTGTTCGTCACTCGGACGCCTCTCCTGCGGCTCGCTCGCTCCTCCTCCGCCTCCTCCCGCGGGCCCACGGATGCCTTCGCCCAGGCAGGTCCACCTTGGGATCCCCACGGAAACCCATGGAAGCTCCGCATGCTCTATCTACGCCCGCACGGGCGGGGTTGATGGCCCCCCCGTGTAGTTTAGTCTCTTAGATGGCTCTTGCCTCGGGGGAGTTTATATATATATATATATATATATTATCATACGCACCTCTCCGAGGGAGTAGAGCTCAGAGGCGATTAATGCGTACGCGGGGCGCCGCGTTCGCGATTCTTCTGGCAGTTTCGCTAATTAGGGACATCCTCGAAATTCTGAACATCGGTGGCACTCCTCACGCAGATCGTGACGTCAGGGTCCAAAAACACATAGGAACTTCAACAGTTTAACATGAAACCTTCAAAAACACATGGTAATTTCAATAATTTTGACCCCGATTCTCAGAGAATGGCGGTTTCGCCTGAAACATCCTCCCAAAATCGAGCCCCGACGTACCCTTTGGTACCCCAGACCCCGCCTCGGCGCTGGCTAACAGTGTCTATTGAAGCGACACCAGCGCGACTTTAATCCTTCCTTCCGAGGCAAGTCGTTTCAGTAGTGGGCAGTTCACAGCAATACCGTGCGAAATTTTGTTTGGCAGTTCTTGGCAAGAACGCGCATTGCTTGGCATGGTTTGGCATTGTTTGACATTTTTCTTGGCGTTGATTTCGCATTCCTTGACATTGATTTGCGTTTCTTGGTATTGGCATGGTATTGGCTTGGTAGTTGCTTTGCACTGCTTGGCATTCCGTTGTACTGTTTGGCGTTGCTTGGCATCAGAGCAGTGCCAAACAACCCCGATCGAGCAGCAGGGCCAGGCTGGGCTCCGCCTCCCTGGCACTCGAGCAGCGCCAAGCAACAAACCAGCAACCCCGAGCGAGCACCCCAGCGAGCCCGGGCCCCGCCTCTGACAAAGGGCGTTGCACCCACCGGTGTCTCACCCAAGCGTTCGAGAGGCCTTCAGGCAAGTCTACCTGGGTAAATATGGACCGCTATATGGACTGCGCTCTCCAGCTGCCTGCGACAAGCCCCGCTACCGTGCCAGCTGAGCATTCTCGGTGGCAGCTGCTCGAATCGCTGTGGATGGTGACGAAGGTGGCGATGATGATAATGATGATGATGGCGATGATGATGATGATGATGATGATGATGCTGATGATGATGATGATGTTGGAAATGGTGATGCTGATGATGATGACGACGAGTATGATAATGGTGATGGTGGTGGTCATCACGATGATGCTGGTAATAATGATGATGATGATGATGATGATGATGATGATGATGATCATGATGATGATGATGATGATGATGATGATGATGATGATGATGTTGGAAATGGTGATGCTGATGATGATGACGACGAGTATGATGATGGTGATGGTGGTGGTCATGACGATGATGCTGGTAATGATGATGCTGATGATCATGATTATGCTGATGAGGAGGAGCAGGATGAAGACAAGGATGATGAGGATGAGGATGAGGATAATGGTGCGGATGAGGATGAGGATGAATATGATGGTGCTGGTAAGGGTGAAGATGATGGCGATGGTGATGGTGATGGTCGTGATCATGATGATGACGACGATGACGATGACGACGACGATGGTGACGGTAATGATGACGATGATGAGGGTGATGGTGATGGTGTTTGTGATGGCGATGGTGACGGTGATGGTGATTCTGTTGATGATGGCGACTACGATGGTCATTATGGTGGGAGGATGAGATGATGAGGAGATGGTGACGGACGATGTGGATGTATAAGACGATGATGTGTATGTGATCATGATAACGAGGAAAAGAATTGTTCCATGTGAGACCTCTCGTCTTCATCCCGAGGAGCTCTCATGGATTATGGACCGCTGTTTGGCCGTCTTGGTGCTGTCCTGGGCTCCTGTGGGACTACAGAAACCCTACCAGACAGCACTTGGTATTCTACCACGCCTCAGTTTGCCATGGGGTACAGTGACGGCTATTCACGCGAGCCAGCGTGCTCCTCTTTTTCGTGTTTCTCTTGATTTCTGTATCTATCCTCTTCGATCTGCTTGCTCCTTCACATTCCATTCGAATTCTAGTTGGTTTCCTTGTGGCGGATGTCACCAGTGTCTGGTGTAATAGTCGTCTTGGGTTCTTGGTGAAATAGCTGTCCCGGGCTCTTGGTGTAATGATTGTCCCAAGCCCCTGGCTTGTAGTAATACCTGTCACCAGTCTTTGGTAGACAACTCGCCTGTGAAGCAGGAGAGCACGAGTCGACTGTGAAGCAGATAAAGCATCGCACACACGTAGTGGGCTTGCACATCCGGAACATGCACGATTTCCTACGGGGCGAACATGCAAGCGTTCACTGCCCGTACGCCCTTCCCGAAAGAACACTGATGTGAGCAGCAACGTCAGGGGGGGCAGGCTCAGGGGGATGCATCGACCCCAATCGCCGATGAGGGCCCCAGCGCCCGCCCCGCCCAGGAATGTCTGGATCCGGTCTCGGGCGCCTGTCACCCATCTATGCGATGTATTGCCGATGCAGGCCCGACGTTTTCTTTTGAGCCGGTCCGCCCCGAAATCAACGTACCAGAAACGGCGTTCTGGAAGGATTCAGGAACTTGCGGGTTCAACAGCTATGTTGATTCGCGGTGTTGAAGTCGCAGAAATGGCGCTCTGGCATTTCGGATCGTCAACACGCAACAGTCAGGTTGATACGTGGCGTTGTTGAAATCCCGAGAACAATGTTTTGGCATGGTTCAGGATCGTCAAACGGTTGTCTTCCAACGAGGAAGTTTCCTCAATGGAAATGAACCGTTGCGGGGGCCTACGAAGAGGGAGCTTGAAGGGAGGGTTAATTCCAACATCGTTGATGACTCTTGGTTTTACACTGGTCCTCCTCCTCCTCCTCCTTTTCCTCCTCCTTCTCCCGCTCCTCCCCTCCTCCCCCCCGTCCTCGGACTGCCGAAGCACCGGCCGGGCCCGCCTTTTTGCCCTCCCCGTTGCGCCGCTCGGCGAGGCCGCCCTCGAGAGCTTGCCCCCGCGCCGCCCTGAGTTCGTCCACGTCCCGCGGACGGGCGGCTCCATGCTGGAGGAGTGCCCTCGCAGCCAAGGGCTCCCACGAGGGCGCGAAGTTCTTCGCGTTTCGCGGTCCTCGCTCTTTCTCCCCCTCCTCGTCCTCCTCTTCTCCTTGTGGGGGGGCGGCGCGAGAGCGCGAGGTTATTCGCGCTTCGCGGAGCGCGAAGCGCGAAGTTGGGAGCCCTAGCGTATCAGATGAGGGGCGAGGATGGGGGGGGCAGGAGAAAGGAGCACCTCTGACATGTTCCCATCGAGGACACGGCCATGATCCAGGCCCGCTGCATTTCTTGCGTCGTGCCGCATGCAGGTGCGCTCGTGCCTGAAATTCTGTACGGCAAGGGATTCGTGCAATAGCAGTGCCCTGCACTGCTGTGCGATCACCCTGCCTTGTTAACTGCTTTTGAAGCCTTGAAACGGGGGAGGAGGAGGAAGAGAAGAAGGAGGAGAAGGATGAGGGAGGGAGGAAGGGAAGGAGGAAGGGAGGGAGGCCTCTCCCACATTTGCCAGCGCACGGTACAGCTGGAGGAGGTCTATGCCGTGCCTGAGACGCGCGGCAGGATCATTGCTAGACATGTTGATGGGGTTCTGTCAGGTGGGCTCATTTGGCTGTTTGTGTATTTTTACCACTCGCAGGGGGTCCAGGGCGACAACCTTCCATTGATGGCAGCTCTGGGAAAATATCTCAGTTCTCTGGCTCATCCTTGGGTGATAGGCTGCGACGCCAATATGAATCCTGGGACGTCTGGGTTATCAGAATGGTGTTATCGTCTTGGGGCTTCGGTGATTTCTCCTGGGAGGAAGACTTGTGCTGCGGGATCTGGACAGGAATACGATTATTGTATTGTGTCTGCAGGTCTGCCGCCTTGTGTCAGCTCCATGAAGGTATGGAGTGAGGCACCTTGCTCGCCGCCCTCCCCTGTGGAACTTACTCTACGTGGGGTAACTCTTGCGATACCAGTCCACGTTAGAGTAAAGTTGAAAGTATTCCCTACTAGGCCTCAGACTGGATGACTTCGTGAGCCTCTGCAGTTGCCCTGGGCCTGGAACACTGGGGACACGGGGGACCTGGACTTGGAGGTGGTTTGGGGCCAATTGGTTGAGAATGTTGGACTTGAACTATGCCATATCTTTGACATCACGGGGCAGGAGATGGAGGAGTACACGGGAAGGGCAAATGGTTCCAAGAGGAAAAAGGTGTCCCTGGACACCGTCTTGAAAGGTAAGTGGTTTGCGCACAGTACTCCTCGCCTTCGTGCCTGGCGAGCTCTAGACGCACTTCTTGTGAAGGCTGCAGCGTTTGCAGATGACCTGGAGGGATCTGCGATGTGGCCTTCGGTGCGTGCGTCAATTCTCGGCTTGAGCATGGACAAGTTAGGTGCCAAGTTCCAATGTCTGGCCCCTAGCCTTCCTTATTTGATTCGCAAGATCGAGGATTCCGAGGGGATCGAGATCGGTTACCTGGGACCGGCTTGCAAGATGACTTATGAGAAGATGTTTAAAGATCACTCGGCGAAGAGATGGTCGGGCTGGAAGGCTTGGGCCCAGGATGCTGCTTTTGCTAAGGCTGGCAAGGCCGCGCGCGCTTACTCTAAGGTAAAGGCTCCTGCCCAGGGGCCTCGTGCTGCTGAGGGATGGGCCCTCCAAGGCGACAAGGCGATTGCCGCCCTGCAGGAGAAATGGGGGAAGCATTGGCTTTCTCATGACTGTCCTCCTCTCGCCTGCACAGCACGCCGAAGCAGATGCTGAGCCTCCTCTTGTTAGGCCTGATAGGGAACAAGTAAGTTCAAGCACGAGACGGGTCCGGGGGTCGACTGTATGAATCCTAGGAGTTGGCTTTTACTTCCTGTGGAGTATGTTGATCGCTTGACGGACCTGCTTATGCTCTGGGAATGGTGCCCCAAGTTGCCCGATAAGTATGCCACACTCATCGTCTTCCAGGGTAAACCTGACGGTGCTGGGTTGCGCCCGCTTGCCCTTATTGTTTCGGTGCTCAGGGTCTGGGCCAGAGTACGGCAGCAGGTGGTCAGGTCTTGGGAGCGTGCGCACTCTGCTTAGTTCGTCTGGGGTGAGAGGGACAAGGAGTGTGATCGGGCAGGGTGGAACCATGCGATGATGTGTGAATTTGCTCGGGTAAAGCGTTTCCACTCGGGGGCCCTGTTTAGCGACCTGGACAAGTTTTACGAGCGAGTTGCTCCGTCTATTCTTTTTGAAGGGACCAGAGCTACTGGTCTCAGCCTCCGTCTTACGCGCGCTGCGCTTCAGTTGTATGTTGGCGCCCGAGCCTTCACGTTCCAGGGGGCGACCTCTGCCATCTTGCGCTTCTCTCTGCAGCCACTGCGGCTTACCCTTCCCTCGTGATCAGGAATGTGATCGACGATGTATCCATGCAATCCATTGGCACGGTGAGGTTTGCGGGGGAGGGGGGGGGGGGGGGGGTGGGGGGGGGCAGCTGGGGGGGGCTGGGGTTATGCTTAAGGGGGGTTTCGACAAGCTTAAGCTCGTCCTCTCTGGGGAAAAAAAGACCAAGCACACTTCCCCGTGCAAGGAGTTAGATGTGGTGCTCCGTGGGATGTGGGGTCAGTACGGTTTCAAGTCTCAAATGGCTGTTCGCCCGTTGGGATGTGACGCCGTGTCTCGACGCTTACGGCGAAACCCTACTGCTCGTGCTCGGCGTTTGAAGGCTTCGAAGCGGCCCAGAAGATTGCTGAGACTGAAGAGTGCTGGCGCCTTTGTGGGCAATCTCCAGCGTGCTGGACCCCAAGCGGCAGGGCTCTGGGGATATGCGGCGGCAGGTCTATGTCCCAAGCAGTTGCACACCATGAGGCTTGCAGCAGCACGTAGTTTGAGCAAAGACAAGTCGGGGGGCCTCATGTCGCGCAGGCCCAGGTCGCACCCAATTGGAGCCCGCATGGACCCACATGTTATTTATCATACGAACGTGGTTTTACACTGGTGTAGGGCTATCTGGGATGGATGTCCTGGGCTGGATGTTATGCAGCTGGTTTTTGAGAGAGCCGTGGGCGACCTCTGGCAGGTCAGAAGACCGTTGAATATATGTACCAGTCCAGCACATGTATACTTGCTCACGCTGCGAGAGTCAGGCTGGGCGTTGACTTCAGCCAGACAGGTTTCGACTGCTCAAGGAGATGTGGTTGACCTGCTATCTCTATCGCCTGTAACGGTTAGCAGTCTTGCGCAGCGTGATGCAGGACACTGGGCTGATAAACGTGCTCTCCTCCTCAGGCCAAAGCTCAGCGGGGTCTGGTGCAGGCCTGTGCTGCGGGAGGGGACTAGAGATCTTCTGAAGGATGGGTGTAGCCACGTCTGGGGACAACATCACAAAGCATGTATGAGAAATGCGTTCGCTCTTGGTTCCTGGACTCAGGCTCGCCGTAAGGGCCACGGGCTGGCGGATGACGACACCTGCCAGCTGTGCCAGGCCAGCAAGGGCACTCTTTTTCACGTGAGGTTCGAGTGCGAGGCCTTCGACGGTGACAGACGTCAATATGTATATGCTGCATGTTCTGCAGCGTCGAGAGGAGTGAAGGAATGGGGCCAAGATGTTGGGAAATCTGCTGCTGGGGTGCTTCCTCATCCTCGAGAGCTGATCCCTCCTCCTCTCTCCCTTTCCTCATGTGAAGTGTTGTGGTTCAACAGGCCGGCCTCCGGTAGGCTGAGCGGTAGAATATTCACTGATGGATCTGCGATCAACCCTCAGTGCGAAGATATCCGCAGGGCTGGGTGGAGCTTGGTCCTGACCAACGAATTCGGCGATTTGATTTCTGCGGCCTACGGGCCAGTGCCTCGCGAAGAGGCCCCGTGGCAACAGGCCCGAGACGGTGAAGATTACGCCTACAGAATGGCGCCCGAGCTTGTTGAACCGTTTTCCGATAACACGTTTTTTTTACGGACTGCCAGGGGACCCTGGGTTGCGTCTGGGACAGGGCCAGCAGTTGCTCTTCCCAGAATCCTCGGGCCCATCTCTGGACCAAGGTTTGGCATGTTTTCGAGAACGGGGCGTCTGCTTCTAAATTAAAAGGCCATGCGACTGTGGCCGACGTGCTTAACGGTAGATGCACGGAGGCAGAGCGCCTCGGTAATAAGCATGCTGACCGATTTGCTAAATTAGCCGCTGCGTGCCACCCTCTCTCTGAGCAGCTCCTGGAGCTCCGATCCCTGCTGATTGAGCACCAGAAGGAGCTGCTTAGATGGGGTGGCATGCAAGATGTCATGATGGGTGCTAAGGGTTGGGTGGACTCGTCTGGTTTCCCTGTGCCCGTTGAGGTGGGCGGAAACATGGAGCACGAATCCCAGCCTAAGCCATCCAAGTCTGTTTCTGCCAGGCATTTTGCTCGGCTGCGCAAGGACGGCCATCAGAAGTGGGCCTCTCGCATTGATTTCAGGGTGCCCCTTCTTTCTGATACGGCCGACGATGTTCCCGCTGAGGTCTTAAGTGAGACCGCCCTCTTGTCCAGGCTGCAGGGCCATACCCTTTGCAAAGCGAAGGTGTTCGTCAGGGACGGCGGGAGGGCGGCTGGGAGCGGGTGGGTGATCTGCTGCTTGAAATGTGGTGGATATGCATGGTCAGGCGTCATGTCCTTAGCTGGTAAGTGTCAGGGCCAGCCGAGGACCAAGGATCTCAGGCAACAAAGATCGAGGGTCTTGCGTGGTGTTTTCCCCTCTTGGGCGAAACAATATGCAGGGTGGACTGCTTCTGACATGGATCCCCGTCCCCCTTGGACTTGCTGTCTCTGATCAGGGCAGCGCACAGAGGGATCCAGGTCAGGCGTGCTGATGACAACGATCATGCCGATGCTGTTCCAGGCCTGTGGGAGGAGAGGTGGAGCCCTGTCCAGCTGCTCTCACGTTTCGGCCTGGTGATGCCCGCTCCACAGTCACATGCTACTGAGTGAGTGTGCTTGTGTTTGGGGCGGCTGGCACTCGACGGCCGCTTCAAGTGAGTACAGTACAGTACAGGGAGGGAGGGAGGAGGAGGACAAGGACGAGGACGAGGAG